CACCCTGGGGAGCTCCGGTGTTATTCGTAAAGAAGAAAGACGGGAGCATGATAATGTGCATCGATTATAGAGAGCTGAATAAGGCGACAATAAAGAACAAGTACCCGTTGCCGAGGATTGATGACCTGTTCGATCAGTTGCAAGGTTCGAGCTATTTCTCGAAGATCGATCTGAGGTCAGGATATCATCAGCTAAAGGTAAGAGGGCAGGATATTGAGAAGACTGCGTTCAGAACAAGATATGGACACTATGAGTTCTTGGTTATGTTGTTTGGACTAACCAATGCTCCAACGACTTTCATGGATTTGATGAACAGGGTTTGTAAACCATACCTTGATAAATCCGTGATAGTGTTCATAGATGATATTTTGATTTATTCAAAAAGCAAGCAGGAGCATGACAAGCATCTGCGTGAAGTGCTAGAAGTTCTGAAAAAGGAGAAGTTGTATGCAAAGTTCTCCACATGTGAATTTTGGATTCAAGAAGTCCAATTTTTGGGTCATGTGGTTAACCAAGAAGGGATAATGGTTGACCCAGCAAAGATCGAAGCTGTGATGAAGTGGGAACAACCAAAAAGTCCTACGGAGATCCGAAGCTTTTTAGGATTAGCTGGATATTACCGAAGGTTTATCCAAGGCTTTTCTTCGATCGCTACTCCATTAACAGCTTTGACCCACAAAGGAGGAGGTACTTATACTTGGAATGAGAAGCATAAGGAAGCTTTTGAGAAGTTAAAGAAGAAATTGTGTGAAGCACCGATTCTTTCGTTACCTGAAGGAGTTGATGACTTCGCAGTTTATAGTGATGCATCTGGAGTTGGGTTAGGTTGTGTTCTGACCCAAAGGGATAAAGTGATAGCGTATGCATCGAGGCAATTGAAAGAGCATGAAAAGAACTACCCCACTCATGATCTGGAGTTGGCAGCGGTAGTATTCGCCTTAAAGATATGGAGGCACTATCTTTATGGCACTAAATGCAAACTTTTCACTGATCATAAGAGTCTTCAATATCTCTTTAATCAGAAGGAATTGAACATGAGGCAACGACGCTGGCTAGAGTTACTCAAGGACTACGACTGTGAGATACTTTACCACCCTGGTAAAGAAAATGTTGTTGCTGATGCTCTCAGTCGGAAGGTAAACCTTGAAAAGAAAAGGCCAAGAGTGTTGAGAATTGAAGTTGTCTCGACAATTATGGAAAGTATAAAGAAAGCTCAAGAGGAAGCTTTAGAGAAAAATGACCGAAAGGAAGAACGTTTGGGAAAAACGTTAGTGTTTGATACAAACGGTCAAGGACTGAAGGTATTCCAAGATAGGATTTGGGTACCTAAGACGGGAGGAGTGAGAGATCTTTTGATGGAAGAAGCTCACAAGACCATGTACTCGATTCATCCCAGCAGCACAAAAATGTATAGGGATCTAAAACCCTACTACTGGTGGCCGACGATGAAGCTCGATGTTGCTAAGTATGTGGCCGAGTGTGTAACATGTGCTAGGGTTAAGGCACAACATCAAAAACCGTATGGGAGTTTAGAACCTTTGCCTGTACCCATGGGTAAATGGGAAGACATCACCATGGATTTCGTGACTAAACTGCCCAGAACAAAGAACGGTCACAACATGATTTGGGTGGTCGTTGATCGCTTCACTAAGAGTGAGATTTCATAGCAGCCAACGAGAAATGGTCTATGGATAAGCTTACGAATTCTTACGTGAAGGAAATTGTGAGGCTTCACGGTGTTCCGTTAACGATGGTATCAGATCGTGACAGCCGTTTTACCTCAAGGTTTTGGAGAAGTCTACAAGAGGAATTGGGTACGAAATTGTGTTTGAGTACAGCTTACCATTCGCAAACCGACGGTCAAAGCGAACGAACAATTCAAACATTGGAGGATATGCTACGAGCATGTACCCTAAAATTCCAAGGTAACTGGGATGAACATTTACCTCTGGTAGAATTTTCCTATAATAATAGTTTCCACTCAAGCATCAAGATGGCACCTTACCAAGCTTTATATGGAGAAAAGTGTCGAACGCCGTCATGTTGGCTGGAAGCTGGGGAAAAGCAGTTTATGGGACCTGAAATAGTCTATCAGACTGCTGAAAAGTTGAAAGTGATTAGGGAAAGACTGTTAGCTGCTCAAGATCATCAAAAGAGTTATGCTGACAAGAAAAGACAACCGATATCATTCGAAGTTGGAGATTCGGTTTTACTTAAAGTCTCGCCGTGGAAGGACTTATAAGATTTGGTAAGAGGAGAAAATTGAGTCCAAGGTTTATTGGACCGTTTAAAGTTCTTCAGAGGATCGGGAATCAAGCTTACAAGCTAGAATTACCAGAAGAACTAGAGGGTATTCATAATACCTTTCATGTGTGTTATTTGAGAAAGTTCACGGGAGATGTGCCCGGCATAATTCCAATTTCTGAATTAAGGTTGGATGAAAACAAGAGGTTAATTAAAGAACCAGAGGCAATCGTTAACCGTAAGACTAAGAAGTTGCGACACAAGATGGTCGATTTAGTGCTTGTGCGTTGGAAACATACGAATGGGCCAAATCTCACCTGGGAAACGGATAGTGACATGATGAGTCGCTACCCGTATTTGTTTGCTGATGTGTGATTCCGGAGACGGAATCAACCTAAGGGGGAGAGAATTGTAACGCCCTTGTTTCTAGGCTTGGCATTAATATTGACGTAATAGTCTAGGTTAACGTTTGTAACTCATTTTGAAGAAATGAAGAGGAATTATTTTGATTATTATGTGAATTATGTGTTTTATGCTTAATTATTAGGATTTAATTAATTAAGAATAAAAATGAGCATCGAAAATAAATATTAGATAAAGCCGATATCTATTAAGAAAGTTGTAGTGGTCGTGACAAGGATTCCGGATATATAAAAAATACCGAAATCCGAGTTATAACGAAGAAGTTATGACATGTCGAAGTTCAGCGACAAAACCGGCACGGTGCCGAATGACGTAAAAAGTGAGTTTTTGATAAACTACTTTTTAGTTCCTAGTGATATAAATGAAAGTCGTAGTGTTCGTTAAACCGAGAGTATGCATAAAAAGAACGCCCAAATCTGACTTCGTATGACGAAGTTATGATTTTTCTAAGTTTCAGCTTAGCAGTAGACAGCTAAAAACTCGAATTTTAGATCGAGTGATTTTTAGCCGACACAACCTAAACGATAATCGAAGGTCTCGTCAATAGTAGTACAACGGTAAAAATACAGACGAAAACGGACGTCGGATGAAAAAGTTATGAATTTTTAACGGATTTCCTGTCCCGGTCTGTTAAAAATAATAATATTAAAATTAAAGTCAAAATTAGCCGACGAAGTCTAAACGAAAGTTGTAGATCGTAATTTTACCTACGCGTGCATATAAAGAACGTCAAAAACGGAGCCAGTATGCGAAAGATATGAATTTTAGAAGTTCGGGACACAAAAATCGAGAAAATCCCAAAATCCGAGAAATTTCGTATGGTGAGACTTCGGCCACGTCACCCTCGCTCGCAGGCCGCCTCGTTTCCGCCACGTGCTCGTTTCTGATTCGACCGAAGGTGCGGCCCGGTAAGGACTCGACACGCCTCGCACCCGTGGCAGATCCGAAGCGCGGTCCAATGAGCGTCCGACGCGTGCCCTCCTTGCGTGTCCGAGCTTCGCAGGCGCGCCACCTCTTCCCCCTCGCACCCTAAACCTCGGTCCAATCAGAAGCCACCACCCGGAGCCTTGCATGCGATCCGCGTGTTCACTTATCCTCCCCCTCGGTCCGAAGCCTCCCCCTATAAATAGAAGGGTGCGAGACCTCCCGGGGATAATTTGGAAATTTGCTATTTTACACCCCTAAACCCATATTTCTTCCATTCCAACTTCCCCCAAAGCCCCGGTATTATACCAAACACCCAAAATACGTCCCGAAGTGCCCGAAGACCCGAAAAAATTTATCTCTTCGGTTTTGAAGCCCAACCCTCGCAGAACCCGGTTTCTCAATAAAACTCTCGGTTTTATTAGAAACGACTGTTTTAGGAAATGAAGTGCTGTCCGATTATCGTTAAATCAAGTGAGTGTGTAGTCACTTTCATCTTACACCTAGATATGAAGTATTTTCTATAAAATACGTGCTATGTGTAATTATATTAATTGTTTATTTGAGGTGACTGTTGAATTGATGTTTTATACAAGTTTTAAACTGTATATGTATTTTATCTACAAATATGTTGGGTAAAACATGGGTAGATGAAATAGTCGATGTGTGTTAAAATGATGAGAGGCCTCGATGTTGTTGTTGTTGTAGTCGTCTAGCGGAGTATAGATGACGACCACGAACCTTTCTAGACAGTCCAGTGGAACTCTAGCAGGTTTGCATCCTGTAGGTGTTGGTGAACTATATGTTCATTGGTGTACTCCATCCCCCTCATGGTTGCCTTTAGGACATGTATGGCTGAGGAGTCCCCTTAGCAGTAGTGTCCATCCCGATGATAATCCTTAGGCTAGGTCCCTTGTGATAGGTGTTTAGGGACGTAAAGTGAGGATAACGGGAATGGGTAATCAGGGTTATTGTTGATTGATGAACTTAATAAGTTTATTATTATTGTGGGTTGAAAACTCTATATGCTCACCAGGCTCCCAAGCCCGACCCACTCAGCTTTTTATATTACAGGTAGTGGACCCCGAGCATAGTCGGATGATGATGAGAGATTTTTGGATTATAGGACAGTAGTTGTAAATAACTGTTGTAAGGCTTATAATGTTTTGTTTATGCTTTTGATCTGTATCGGAACATGACATCCCGAGGTTTTGATATAAAATGAAAATATATATTTCTTAAAGAAAGGTTTTGATAAATTTTTATCATGTTTTGTTTTGGGAACAAATTCCGCAACATCTTTTAAAAGGATCACTCTGATTTTATTTTAAAAAACATAAATTAAATCGGTCTTTTCTGGCCGAAAAATTAGGGGATGTCACAAAGCTGGTTCAATAGTAAACACCAATATGCTCCACTTATATCGTTATGCAAAGCATTTGGGAAGCTTACAAAGACTTGAAATTACCAAAGAGGACGATGCAGACAGAGTAGTTGTTACAGAAGATGGTGATTCGGAAGAACACATCAAAGAGGATGTACACATAAAAGACTATGCACCTGATATAAAAGCTATTTGTGATAGACTAGAAAAAGCAGATGGCAAGGTTACTATCTACATTTCGGTTATTTACCTAGCCTTTATACTTAATCAGATGCTAATTCTTGTTTGTTTTTATACCTCATAAGGTTCTTGTTGTTGGAGATATCAAGAAGGAATTAGGTTATCGCAATAAAACTGGACATAAAGCTTGGAGTAGTGTAAGTTATAAATTCTCACCATTTAGCATAATTACGCTAAGGTCCATTTAATTATCTCAGATTCAAGTTTATTGCACAAATGCTCTCAGATTTTACACAGGCTGAAAGATGCTCATCTAGTTGAGGAGTTTCATGCTACAGTGAACCAGAAGGAAGTTAAGTGCTTACGTCTGCTAAAGACATTTTCTCCTAAAACTTGTGTCCCCAAAAGTCATGGAGGTGGAAACAGTGGGCAAATTACTGAACAGCTTCTTGAACTTCCTATTGAGCAACAAATTTATGATATGATTGATGCTGAAGGTTCAAAAGGGTTGATTCTTAACAAGGTATATAAAAGGCTTGGCATAAACAATAAACGATACTACCCTCGCATTCTTGATATGGTGTCTAGATTCCGGATGCATTTAAAGTCAGAAAACCTTAATAGAGGTCTAGTCTACCGAGTTTGGACTTCTGGAAACTTCAATACTGAAGCTTCCACTTCACTCCCTGGTAAATCAGATCATCATCTGACCATTACAGTCGATGCTGAAGCCAGTGAAGAACAGAATATCGATCCAATTGGTTCAACAAGTTCACACAATCTGCAATGTGACACAAATGGCATAACTGTAAATTTAAACCCTGCATCAAACTTGGAGATATCTTCATCTGCTTCACCAGCACCCAGAGTTCGACGCTCATATACAACATATCCATGTCTAGGTTTTAGTTCAGCTAGCTCAAAGAGGGAACAGAGGATACTTGAAAAACTACAGGTCAATAGACAATATATTGATCTTTGTCTTCTTCGACTTGTTATATTTGTGTTAGAATTTTCCTTTTTTTTTTTTCCTTTTTTTTTTTTTTTTTTTTTTTTTTTTACAGGAAGAAAAGGTTCTTATAAAACCTGAACTACAAAGGGTGCTGGAGAGTCTGGAGAATCTTGACAATAAGTATACAACGATGGACAGAAAGACATTAGAACGCAGTTTAAATAAGCTTCAAGAAGACGGACATTGCAAATGCATTTCGTTTGCAATCCCTTCTGCCACAAACTGTGGTCGCAAACATACAGTTGATGTGATCCTCCATCCATCTGTATACAAATCTGAAGACCTATCGGATATTGTTCATGAGAAAATTAGGTCATTTGAAAAGCTAATACGCACCCAAAGTTTTCCCCGACATACAAATGGTAAATCAAAATCAATCCCGGTTTTAAATAACGTGGAGAGAATTCCTACAAAAAACGATGTTCAATTTCAATCCGAGACGTTTATAGCAATGAGGGAAAACGGTTTTGTTTTGGCAAAAATGGTTCGTGTAAAGCTGCTTCATGTTTTTCTGTGGGGATATCTCACAGATGATAGTAGATCAAGAGAAGACGATGTATATGAAGGGAAGAACCAGTATAGCAGTTGCAAATTGTTTGAATTAAATGCAGCTATTAAGGCCATGCCACTTGAGTTGTTCTTGCAAGTTGCAGGGTCCCCTGTGAAACTCGATTCCATGATTGAGAAATGCCGGAATGGAATACGTCTTTCTGATCTTCCGATTCAGGAATATAGGTCTCTCATGGATACTCGAGCCACTTCACGTCTTTCGTATCTTATTGATATCTTAAGACGTCTGAAGTTGATACGATTGATTGGTGGAGAATTTATGGAGACTTCTGTGGGCCCACATACTACTACTACTACTACTCTTAGACATTCGCTAGAACTTAAGCCTTACATTGAGGAACCTGTCACAGTTGTTTTGCCATCGCCAGGTGTCAATTCTTTTGATCTTCGTCCTCATGTCAGACATGATTTTGTTCTTGGAAGTAGAAAAGGTGTTGAGGAATACTGGAATACTTTGGAGTATTGTTATTCTGCGTCTGATCCAAAAGCTGCTTTGCATGCATTCCCTGGATCTGCTGTTCATGAGGTTTCTTTCTTATTCTTTCTTTTCTTTTCTTTTCTTTTATATAAATTCCTTTCTTATCTTCTGAAACTTCATTTCATCAGGTATTCCTTTCGCGTTCATGGGCAGCAGTCCGAGTTATGACAGCTCATCAGCGGGCTGAGCTGTTAAAACTTGTGGCAAATGACGACTCAAATCAAAAGATATCATACAAAAAGTGTGAGAAGATTGCAGAGGATCTTAATTTGACCTTGGAACAGGTTTGTTTTCTCTTTGTATTTGGTAAAAGTATTCCATTAATTAATTGCAGAAAACTGATTGATTTTGTTTGTAGGTGCTTCGTGTATTCTATGATAAGAGACAAAAGCATAAACTAAAGGGAGCAACAAGCACCAAAGATCCACCAACAAATGCTTTAATTACTTACAAAAGAAAAAGATCATCGAAAGGAAAAGGAAAGACAACTTTAATGGAAAATCTACTTGAAGAGTCTAGCAAAGTGAAGCATCCCAAATTGTTCCATGAAGATAATGAAATTTCAGCGTGTAGAATGGATGACATGGATGCTGCTGCTGATGACGTGGCACTAACTGAAGATGAAGACGGTGGTCAGTCGTACTCTGTGTCAAAGCTACAACAGCCTACACGCATCAAAAGATTTCCATGGACAGAAGCAACAGACAGGTAAAAAAACTCTTAAATAGGGACTGAAATTGCGAATTAACAAATAGCCCAGGGACGTTATTTGTAAAATTTTGATGATCTTTGTTTTTCAGGTTGTTGGTGATTGAGTACGTAAGACATCGTGCTGCACTCGGAGCAAAATTCCATCGTGTAGAATGGAGCTCACTTGAAAATCTCCCAGCACCTCCTAAAACATGCAGAAGAAGAATGTCAACTCTGAACAGAAACAATCAGATCAGAAAAGCTGTAATGAGACTCTGTAACATGCTTAGCGTCAGATACGCAAAGCATCTAGAATATTCCAAGAACAAAACACTCATTCATAATCGAAAACCTCCGGATGTTGTTATTCATCCTTCAAATGAGTTGGATGTTGATGAACAATGGGATGATTTTGACAAGAAAGACATAAAAATAGCCCTAGACGAGGTCCTTCAGTACAAGCAAGTTTCCAAATCTGCAGCAACTAAAGGTGGATCCAACTGTCCTCGATTCAATGTAAGAATTTGATAAATTATTTAATTTTTAACAAATCGTTTTTAATCATTAATCTTTTTTTACTGGTTTGTAGGAATTTGATCAAACCACCTCCATACCTAGAGATGAGTTTTTGGATAGTGGAAGGAGGGAAGCTTCTGGAAGAAGATCAAGAAGACGTTATCTGCCTAAAAGCTATGACAATCTTTTGAATAGAGGAAAAGGTTTTAGTACACAAACCTACAAATCATTAGCAGTTTCTAATGCAATCGAGCTTTTCAAGCTTATATTTTTAAGCACTGCAAAAGCAAAAGCAAAAGCAAAAGCTCCAGCTGTCCCAAACTTGTTAGCTGAAACATTGAGGCGATATTCAGAACATGATCTTTTTACAGCATTTAATTACCTCAGAGACAGAAAATTCTTGGTCAGGGGTAATGATGCGAGTCATTTTGTACTCTCGCAGCAGTTTTTACATGGTATTTCATCTTCTCCGTTTCCTGTTAATACTGGAAAAAGAGCTGTGAAGATGGCGAGGTGGATTCATGAAAGAGAAGATGATTTGTTAGAATATGGAGTAAATCTACCTGTTGACCTTCAGTGTGGTGATGTTGTTCATTTATGTGTGCTGATGTGTTCAGGGGAAGTGTCGTTGTTCCCCTGTTTGCCTGATGAAGGTGTTGGGGAGATTGAGGAGTTAAAGAAACGTAAACGTGAATGTGATAGTGATGATAAACAAGAACAAGTGTGTGTTGAAAAAGCTAAAAAGCCGAAAATATTAGACAAGTGAGATTTTTTCACGTAAAGAAAAAGGTTTTCCAGGTATTCAGTTATGTTTAAACCGTAGTTTTATTTCCAGAGTTGATGCAATTACATTCTCTAGAGATAGAGACACTTGTTCTTCTGTTTCCAATTCATCAGCTTCTTCTGTACACGTGGCATCTTCTGAGTCAACATGGGAAGCTATGAGTAGCTATGCAAGACACGTGGCATCTTCTGGGTCTTTCAATCCGAATATGTTTCAAACTGTGTATTCAGCCATCCAAAAGGCTGGCGACCAAGGGTTAAGCATGGAAGGTATCTCCCAACAAGAAGGTATGTATGCAATTTGTTACTTACCTGTTTTTTCTTCTTCTTCTTCTTCTGTATATGAATCTCATTTCCACAAATGTTATGGTTTGTAGGGGGAAAGATGGGAGAAATTATTGTTGAGGTGCTTGAGGCATTTGGGCGGGTTTTAAAGGTGAATGCTTATGATTCTGTCCATGTTGTTGATTCTCTGTATCGATCAAAATACCTATTGGCCACCTCAATGGCATCCCATCAACATCAACACCAACACCAACACCAACACCAACACGAACATGATCTTCCTCATCTGAAGGAGCCCCAAACCTCCTCCATTAACGATGAGTTGCAGCAAGAAAATCATACAAGTACTCATCCTGATGATGAGGTGCATAGAGTCACCATTTTAAACCACCCAGAACCAGAAGAAAACGAAACAAACAAGAATGTGAAAGCAACTTGTTCAGGAACAGGGGCAGAAGAGGGATTTTGTATTGCTGATGGTGATGGTTATAAGCCAATTGTGCCTTGGTAAATGGAGATGGGAGTATGAATGAGATTGTTTACAAGGGACTTGTACGCCGTGTTCTTGGTATTGTCATGCAAAGTCCTGGGATTTTGGAGGACCAAATCATAAGCCAGATGAATGTTCTAAATCCTCAGGTATGTCAATTTCATCTGTTTGAATTTGATTTTACTTATGAACAAGAATTAATTAATTAAGCCTTCACATTTCAGAGCTGTAGAAAGTTATTGGAGCTGATGATTCTGGATAGTCATATCAGGGTGAGGAAGATGTATGCATCTGTATCGAATGAGCCCCCAGCCATGTTACGTTCTCTTTTTGGTTGCAGCTTTAACAAACCAAAGCTGCTTTTTAGACAACATTTTTATGCAAACCCTACAAGTATCAACTGTTTGTAGAAGTGTATATATTAAATTATATATATGTACATAAATTACTATCCTTTTTTTTTGTCATATGAAGACCTTGCCCCATCCCGGCTGCTTTCGAGTGTGTTATGATTCTTTTTAGTTTTGGCCCTGTTACAATTTAAAAGCAATTTTTTGAAAGATTTATGTTAGACTTGACCAATATAAATTGTATAATTTGTAGATTACAAAGTAAACTAATAAACCCAATACACATGTCTTGTTCATTTCAATGTTATGAGTAAGTTGTAAGACAAATATGTCATGGGAAAAGACATTGTGAAATTGTAGTGTTATGACGAAATTGTAGTGTTATGCCTTAACAAGAACTGTTGGGCATATATATATGCTAATAGTTGTTCATAATGAATCCCTGAACTACAGATTCATAAGTATGAGTGAGTATGCATCATCTGATGGGTTGAACGAATATATAGTTATATACTGACATATATATGCTTATAGGTTTTAGATGGAAGTAAGTACACTTAAAAGGGGATTTTCTAACTCCAAGAGGGTTTATACAATTTAATAAGGTACCATGCATGTTGCACCACCATCAAACATGCCTAAAATGAGGAAAATACCTCGAGTGCAAACATGTCGTAATAGCGGATGGCATACAAGCTGCACCAAGGGTATCATGTGCATGTTTTACTCCAATATCTGTAGGGCCTTAGGGGATTGAGGGGAAGTCCAAAAGAGAGTTCGAACAACTTGACAAAGGTTTCATATAAGCTATACATATGGACCTAACAATTGAATTGGATAATTTAGTGTAAAAAAGACGAGGTTTTTTAGCCATTGACCTCATTTCCACTTCCTGAATTGTATGTGTGTGTGTTTTATGGTATGGTTTTGGAGTGGGCATGTCTCAAGACCATTTGGATAGGAGATCTAACTCATTTTGGTTGGATTTACATCCCCAAGCCAAAGGATGATCCACAATTCATCTTCTTTGTGGCATATGAACTTAAAGTTTGTTAAATTAGGGATCTTTGTGGGTAACGGGTTAATTAAGTATAAAACCCCGAATATAAGGGAAATTGATGACATACTCTCTTACATTGATGAAGATAATATAAACATATGAATTCCTAAATTTATATTAAGCGTGTGTAAGAATTGTAACTCCAAGTTTGGGAGTTGGAATGATTTTCTAGGTTTTTGGTTGTCAAAACACCAAACCCATAGTGAGATATTATACAAGAGTGATATATCAAATAGTTAGAATTATGAATTATCATAAACAATGTCAAAATCCGTTGTTGTAAGATTTTTGGGTCTGGAGAATATCAATTAACTTGGATAATTTTTGGGATCGTGATTGCAATCACTTTCCAAAATCTGTGATTTCGACCCTTATACCTGGGGTATCACAAAATATGATTTAAGATAATCCAAGAGATGCAATTTGGAAATCGAGCTACTTCGAAATTCGAAACACAGAAAAATATACCTTGATGTTTTGTGTTTTTTTAGAGATAGAGAAATTATAATGTAATCTCGAGTGTATGAATGTTCCAACCCTTTTCTAAAACCAGATAAGAGTTCTTATACTTGAGGGAAAAGTGGTTAAAATCGGTTAAACCAAAAATGGCGCCAAAACTTGGTAGTTATTGGACACAACCGATGCCTACATCATTATGATGTCATCGGTGGGTTTTTGGAGGAAAATTGCATGATTGGAGTCACACCCGAAGCAAAATCCATTTAGGTTTTGGGGCGCTGCCATGAGCTCTGCCCCTTGGACTCCACAAGGGGCGCTGCCCCTGGACCCCCGTATTCCCGAGTTTACATTCAACACATCGAGTGTGCACCCCGCACCTCCTATCTCGGTTAGTAAAGTGAACTCGACCTATCTCATTATTAATAATAATTACACCAAAATATGTTGATAACACTAAAATCACCAACAGTTGTTAGATAGTAAACGATGTTAAAACACTAAATTGCTTGAAATAAGCAATTAGTAAATGGGATTTTAAATATAGATACGAAAACCATATGCACACGTCTTGCTAATTTGACTTCTAAACACTATCTTAAGTGGATACCGAAGAATTGCTCACACTAAGCTCAAACACTTACAATAAGATGATCTTGAATGGTCTTAGCCCAAACCAAGACATAATATGAGATATGTAAGTGTATTTTTATAGATGAAAGTGAAATGCAATCTTTTGATGTGTAATTGACGTGCTATTTTTTTGTTCCTCATCATTTTAGTGTTTTAGCTAAAACTTCCACGTAAATAGAATGGTTAATAAAATAATAATTTTTATATATGTGACAAGACAAATTAATATTGAGCGTATATTTCATATTTCTTCCATTTGACCGACATCATTAAATGATATTATGTTTAAGGCTTGTGTACTATGTGTTCCACATGTAAAAAGATGTCTTAATCATTATGTTGTTTGTCATTAGGTTTAAAGTTATCATCGTATATTTTGTATTGTCTTATCACCAACCTCATATTCTCTCAAACTCATTCCTATTTTTGAATTTGTAATAGGCGTAAAAACATAAAATGAACTGTGTTAGTTGGTACAATATTTCTTTACTTTTTGCTACTTTGTAATCTTTTTTTGCTAGCTTCTTACTAGTGTTTCAATAAATGATTATTTTCCACTTTTCAATAATACTGCTAACTCAACCTTAATATCTAAATCAAAAGATTCTCTTTCCCTTTTGTCGATGGTTATTTTATTCATTTGGCTTAGTGTTAAGAAGTCATTATTTATCATGTTTTTAAAACCGATAAGTATGTAAATATACAAAAGCCATAACATTCGTAACAAACTAAAAAACACAAGAAACTACAATGCAAACATTATGGTTAAGATCACGAAGAAGGTTACAAAATCAAACTTACATGAATCGAACTTGAACTTTATCATTTAACTGAAAAAAGATATTATGTGAACTCTTTTTCGAGAAATCCTTGTAATTGTCTAACGTTAAACGTATTGATTTTGAATGTAAATGGAAATCGAACCATTTAATCTTTTTTTTTTCTTTTTGAAAATTCTACGTTAACACTTTGACCGGGAAATAGATAATAACATGTCAAAAACCGTTATTTTTAAATAAGTGGTAGTTATTTTTCACCAAAAAGAGTTTATGTTAATGTCAAAATAATATAGTTGCAATCTCAAAAGTCATCATAAAACTTTAAAACCTAATACAATTTGCCGATTCCTAATATCCTCAAATTAGGGTTTATTTATGATTTTTGGAAGAAATATTGTAGTGATTTATCGGCTAGTAGTTTTATATAAATTGAGCGGACCCATTCTCGTCTCTTACCGAGTAACCTTCATTCCAAATTCCCTCTCGATCGAGTTTTCTTGTTACTGCCACTTTGTTCATACTTTCTGATACACCAATTATCTCCCTTCCCATATGATTTAATCATTCAATCTCATTCTATTTTTCTCAAATTTGATGATGGCGGATGGGTCATCGTCGTCCCCAATTCAATCAACCATCACCAACGCCACCACATCCATGGATCAACAACAACAGCAACAATCGATTTCTCAAAACCTCCCTTCTTCAATCGACAACACCATTGGTCAAATCATGTCAACCCCATCATTGCCATCCCAGCAACAACAACAACAAGCGCCACAAGTTAATTCATCCAACGTTCTATCGCAACAGCAGCAGCAACAACAATTGCTTCAACAACAGCAACAACAAAGTAATTTGATGGGGACAGCCAATTTCCAAATTCATCAACAAGGTTTACAGAGGTCTCCATCTATATCGCGTTTGAATCACATGCAACAGCAGCAGCAGCAACAACAACAGTACAATATGAGTGCGAATAATGCTGCCAGAATCTATGGACAGATGAATTTTGCTAGTGGGCAGCAGCAGATGCCGCAACAGCAACAAAATCAACAAATTGGTCAGATAGGAAACGCTACCCTAACCCGCTCAGGCTTGATGGGTCAAACCGGTCACATGACAATGTTGCCCGGTCAAGCTGCCGCTGCTGCGCAACTTAATCTACAATCCCAATTATCAGCATCGGTAATCGTTCTCACTTCTCAATTTGTAGCGTAATTGTACGATTTGAGGCCCTTTTGAGCAAAAGTAATAAAGGCTACTTTCCATCAGTGTTAGTAGGTCTGATTCAATAGAAAATAAAGGGTTACTTTCTTTGGTCAATGTTATGTCTGATCTGTTGTGTCATTGTGTTTGCAGCCTAGGCAGAAAACCGGGTTAGTTCAAGGGTCTCAGTTTCATCCAGGAAATACACCAGGGCAATCACTGCAAGGAATGCAAATGGGGATGAACATGATCAGCCCCTACAATTTGAATTCTCAAATTAGGGCAAATGGTTCTCTTGCTTTCTCCCAACAAAGGATAAACCAGGGGCAGATGAGACCACAATTGGCCCAACAAAATGCAATAGCATCTAGTCAGGTAAACATATTATCTCAATAACTTGATTCTCTGTCAATGTTAACTTAAGCTGCATGAAAGACTATTATATTTATATTTTTAAAGTCACACATGTAATTGTCAGGCCTTTGTGAGCATTGTGCAAATGGGTACTTATGATAATTCTCCTTGCTTCACATAAGCTACCAATCTTTTGTTCTATATGGCTTTTTAGCAAGTGAAGACCATGCTTGCAAATAGTTGTATTCACAGAATATGACAGATGTTTTCATGCTTCTTACTTTTATGTCCAATAGAACCCTAACAGTTTTTGACATATTAGGTGTTGTAATATGCACGCAAGTACATTATATTATCAATTTTTTCGATGGTTTCTAAAGTATATCTGGATGTCAAGTGATGTTTCCATAAACAAAAATATTATACATTAGTGCCTACTATTTCTTTCTGTAAGATTTAGTATGATAACACCTTCCTTTATACAAGAATTAAACACATGTCTACAGCCTTTAGACATATCTACAGTTTTGATATACCACATGTCAAGAAAAAGATAAGTTGTGGATCAT